CCTGTGACAATATTGTTTCATATCTGCTTAAGGTCTAGAGTGTTGTCAGACTAGCTTATACTGCTAGATAAACATTAAATTATCATGATTGTTTTGTTTAATACTACTGGAACTTGAATTACAGTTTTTCAGCACGGATATTGTTGAAGAATGTTAAGTGATATGTAGAAAATTGGGGTATGTGGGCAAGAGCTGACTCAAATTATGATGACAGAGCGTGGGAAGAGGGATGAGAAAGCAGCAATACGTGAGGCTGAATGGTTCGAAATGAACGTGAGACTGAAGGGTTGAAAAACGGAACGTCCGGAAAGGGACAAAATACATACAGAGAGAGATAAAGAGGGCGAACGAGACTGTGAAAAAAAGAAACATTAACACAGCATTAACTTGCAGTGTTGAGGCCGCTTGTGTTGAGGTCGAAGCTGATGGTCAAAATAAAGGCATGGTACAGTTGCCTTAGTCCATTGTTAGTTCAAAAGCTACCATTGTTTGGCGTGAAGAAGGATGAGATAGACGCATTTATTTTAAGGTTTGAGCAATTTGGTGCAACTCAGAAATGGCCGTTTCGGAGTTTAGTTATTAATGTTTGTGCATTAATGACAAGCAAAGCTTTATATGTGTTTTGTCATTGTTGGCATCAGAGTCCGTCGATTACAATGTTGTAAAGGCAGCTTTGTTGAAGCGTTATGATATAAATGAAGAACGTTGTAGAAAGAGATTTTGAACTACTAAGGCAGACGGTGGAGAGAGCATTTCGAAACTTGCAGCTAGATTAAATGGTTATTTTGACCAATGAGTAGAGCTGTCTGAAGTTGACAAGAGTTTTGAAGAAGCTAAGGACTTAGTGATGAGAGATAAGTTGATGAGTACTTTTAGTAACAAGCTGTCCATTTTCATAGATGAAAAGTCCAAAAAGTCAGTTAAAGAAATGCCTGACTTAGCTGATTAGTTTTGATACACGCGTGATACAGGGGGTGAAATCAGAGATCTAGCCTGTGTTAAGGCTGTTATATTTGTGGTGATCCGAATCACTCTGCTTTCAGTTGTCCTAAGTGTTATAAAAGTTCCATGCCTCAGGTTAAGTCAGCTGCTATGTTTGCATATGATCGGAATAATAATAATGATTCACAAGAAGTGCTACTTGTGGAGTTCATGTTGTTACAGATGCAAATATGTATTCATATTTACAAGGACGAGCTGGAGTTGAAATGTGGCCATGTGTTGTTCAGTCATGCACCAGCTCATACTGTAAGTGTTATGCCTGTTGTCCAAGGCTTTATTTGCAGTACTTAGATGTTCATCAAGATACTAGGTGTTGTTCAGGTTTAGTACACAGAAAGTTAGTAGAGGATATTCAATTGCCTGGGAAGAGTCGACCTATGTAATGATAAATGGTACATGTCAGAAAGCCCCAGGAACTCGATTATATATAGGTATCCTTATTATGTTGACGAGGTCAAGGCACTGTGCATGAGGACCCCTATGTATGATCATATTCATGGTAGTATTAATAGAGCTAGGGTATTTAGACTAGTGTTCCGTTAGGTAATTGACGGTTGTACATTCACTAGCAGTCAGACTAGTGTGCCCTCTATTGATGGAGATTGTTCTCCAGGTGTTGTGAACCTCCCATTGATTCTGTTCAGAATGATAGTGTTGATGTTGTACAGGTGGTACAGACTAGAGCTCAGAAGTTAGCTGAGAAAAAGCCATTACGTAGACTTATAGTTCTTGAGTTTGACAAATGGCGTATTTTGACAAATGTATGTCTCCTTGCAGAAAACTTTTTGTGCAAATTTTATCGCTCTGGTCAGTTCAGTTAGACAAGGTTATTCTGCTTTGCTAATGCCCGTAGTTGCCTGCTCCATTATCGTAGAACAGTGGTCCACCAAACATATTCATTTTTGCACACTTCAGTAACAGTTTTACGTAATATAACCAACTGAAATTTGAATGAAAGAAATTGATTTTCGGTTTGACACTTTTCAATTTTCAAGTGATTCGAACTCACATTTTACACACTGGCATTCCAATATATCATCTAACTTACAATTATGGGATAATAAAGACTTTTCATTTACTACATTCTGATATTCATTTTTTGTTTTCTTTTCAAACAAAAACTAAAAACAAAGTATTTTGACATGATAATTTTTGCATAATTAATGATTACATTTGAA